AGTTACTGCGTAAAATCAAAGTATTTTTCACAAAAAAAAAATTCTATTTCTCAGTAACTTGTCGTATTTAACAATTTTGCCTATCACAATAGGAAATAATACAATACTTATCTCATACGTTTTGGGGGTCAAAATCTGCCTCCGTCTTCAGAAATGGACAAAAAATGTAAAGATATTTGCAGTTATTCCTTTGCTGATTATTTATATTTCAACTTTTTCGACAGATGTCAAAGGAGTTTTGAAATGTGGAATTATGTCAATGTTATTGATTGACAACTGAAACATTCGATGTAATAAAAGGTGCTCTCCGATATCAGTCTGTTACCATTTTGCCACTATCCAAATTTTCCTTCAAAATGGGTAGCCAAGTAGGGTCTATTTCTGAGGAGATGTTCGAGATATAATTCTCTCCAGATATGAGAATATACCCTGATTATTTTAGCTTACGTCTCTTAGAGTGAGGCTCATTGGTAATCATTCTTGTCTTGTTCCATTCAACTCGTTGTTCACCGTCTGATTTTAAAATGTGTTCTGACAATTCAGATCCCGTCAATTGACTATTTTTTATGTATCTCGATATTCATTCTCACGCACTTTCAATGGTCTCGAAATTTCACCAATATAACTTTTACCACAAGAACATAAATGCATTTTTTTTTTCTCTATTCAGTGTTGTTGGGTTTTCTATATGTGAATGTGAGGTATAATGTTAGTTGTGACAGGTGTTGGTGGATGTTGAGTCGCTAATTGTTGAGATGGATGTTGTTGAATTTGTGAAGCTGTTTGTAGGATCGTTTAGTTTTTAATTGACTCTTTATTTTCTATTGCATTTATTGTTGAATTTACGAACGAATCTGGATAAGCGTTATCTTTCAGAACATATTTAATTAATGATATTTCTTTATTGACATTTTCAGTTGAATGGCATATCGTTTTTGCTCTATTGGGTAGACAATTTACTATACTTTTTTAAACACTCGCATGATGACTCGATGTGTAGTGAAGATATGTATTGTATTATTTACTAGCAATTTTTTTGATAGGCAAAATTGTTGAATACGACAAGTAACTGATAAATAGAACATTTTTCTTTGTGAAAAATACTTTGATTTTACCCAGTTACTTATCGTGGTAAACTAAAAAGTTTGCCCTTTCTACACTTGTATAAAGTTCTCCAAAATAATATTCATATTTTTCAGATTGTGGAAGGTAAAAATACCCAAAAAAGATCGATGAAACATTCAGAATATATCGAAACTTATTGTACAAGAAATAGTTAAAAACAAACCATTGTTTTCACCTGTCACACTATATATACCTACCTAACCTACATGAACCATACTTAATTTTGATATTCAGGTGTAAAAATCCAAATACAATATGATTGAAATAAATCAAAGAAAAAATAGATGGGCTGAAAAGTTCGCAGACTAACACACAGATGGCGCTACTAGTATTGAACGTATTCTAAAAACACTTTATTGTGTGATTTTCACTAGATAGTTTTACAAAACCGCAACACGTGTTTCGCCATAAAATGGCTTCCTCGGACGAGTCTTAACTAATTCTACACATTCAATGTTATATATACCTTATTCTACAATGTGAAGTACCTACNTACAATTTCCTATAGATTTACTTACCATTTGTCTATCTCAACGACCGAAGAAGCCATTCTATGGCGAAACACGTGTTGGGTTTTTGTAAAACTATCTAGTGAAAATCACACAATAAAGTGTTTTTAGAATACGTTAGTTATGGATTTTCATCAAGTATCGGCCGATTACATCATATATACTAGTATTGAATCCATATGATTTTTAGGTAACCATAACCTTCAAAAGACACGTGTACAAATCAACGACTTATCGGAAAAAAACCAAGAATCCAATATATCGCTTTGCAGACGGCAGCACACTTTTCTCGTCATTCCATATGGATTCCAGAACATTGGCTACGGAGACACATCTTCACAGGCAGCAGGAGGTTGCATATCTTGATGAGGATCTAGAGGTGACTTCGAGTTGGAGTGGCACTATTATGTCGCTGGAATTGCAAAGGGTGGTTCTCCAAAGCTTGGAACACTGTTCTGAACCAGAAAACTATACACACCTCAGCAACTTTTGATGCTTTATAAAGTCCTTATCAGACCTTTGGAGTATTGTTCTCATGTATGGAGCTGTGCCCACGAAAATACCCTGAAGTTGCAGGATTATATCCAGAAAGAACCATTCGCTTGATTGGAGACGCGAACATCACGTGCAACCTTAATAGCCTGGAAAATAGAAGAAAGGTTGGAGATTCGTCTCTTTTCTATAGATACTTTCACGGAAGGTGTTCAAGTGACTTGGCTGATCTGATTCCACCAAGAGCGGTACATAGAAATATGCAACGGACTGTGGCTGCTCATCGTTTTGAGGTTCCGCCCAGTACACCTCGAACTTCAATGCTCAAACTCATTCATCTGGAGAACTGCGTTTATGTGGAATAAACTTCCCGAGAATCGTTTTTCCAAATGGATTCAATCTCCAGTGATTCAAACCAATGTGAATCGCTAATTTCGCACAGCCACCGGTCTCAGAGCGCCTCAAGGATTTTTTTGTAGTGCTTGTGTTTTGTCCTTACAAAAAAAGAAGCTGTAGGCTGGCAAGGTTACGGTATCAGTATTTTGGGATGCGCATGGTATAATATTCACCAACTATCTTGAAAAAGGAACAACCATCAACAGCGACTCTTACATAGTGTTATTGAAGGACGAAATCGTGGAAAAACGACCCATTTGAAGAAAAAGAAAGTGGTGTTTTATCAAAACAATGCACCGTGTCACAAATCAATGAAAACGATGGCAACATTGTATGGATTGGGCTTCGAATTGCTTCTACATCCACCGTATTCTCCGGATTTGACCCCACTCACATTTTGATGTTCTCAGACTTTAAGAGAATTCTCGCTGGAAATAAATCTAGCGTCGATGAAGAGGTAATCGTCGAAACTGGGGCCTATTTTGAGGATAAAAACAAATCGTACTATAGAAATGGTATCGGAAAATTGTATGACCGCTATAGAGGTGTCTCGTCTTCGAAAATAACTATATTGAATAATAACATCAAATAAAAAAAAATCTGTTAGCCTACGAACTTTCCAGTTCAACTTACCAGGTGAATTACTGACCAACACAAAGCGTGTTTTTGTCATTGGACAAAAAAAGGAATTTCAAAAAGTTCAGTTTGAGTTTAGGTTGGGAATTTTAACATGTATAGAACACCATCTTCAATAACTATTCATAATCTGAAAAATGAAACAAACTCAANTTCGTTAACTCGCATATTCTATTCACAATAGCATTCTGTGAAGTGTGACAGTTTTCCTTCTTCAAGCATTCATGAATATTTAAAATTACTCGCTGAACTTGAACATGTAAGTCCTTTTTTTCAAATTCCGGATCCCTGTCGATTGACACAGATTCCTCACACGTAATGTTATCATTTGTTTCAAAAGATCTCCAGAAAGCCATATCTATTGTTGACAAATTAATTTGTATATTTAGATATATAAACAGCTAACACTTGTCTTTAGATTCAGTATAAATTTGCTTCTCCTGAAGATGCTAACCTTGTTAGCGAAATGCGCGTCGAGTGCAAAAATATCAGTTTGGTGTTAAGGTAATTGATCTCTAGAAAAAGTATTCAAGAATCGGTTCGCAAAACCACTCACTACCTCACCTAACCCCACGAACACACGGCACTGATAAAGAAATACTGTGAAACGACAAAAAATTAGTATTCAGCCAGTCCAGCTAGCCAAGCCTTTACATTTGATACATTTGATAGCACATTTACTAATTATCTGGGCGACTAGGGGCCACAGGCAACAAATGTTTATGACTGTACTCATCTTTTTATTGCCGTTCCAATTGGGAATGGATAGACTATATGTCCAGTTTGTTGGTGAGAGATATAAAAGTTTTTGCGTGTTCGGCGTTTTTTTGCTATCGAAAAAAATGGATAAAAAAATTTGCATTACATTTTGTGTAAAGAATGGAATTAAATACTCGAAAACACTTGAAATATTGACAGTGGCATACGTAATTGTACTCTGAGTACATTGTGACTTATGGAACTAATGATACGATTTTAAAACATATTGCATTGTTTTGTTCGAATGAAAAAACCTACTTCTTATAGTAGGTTTTGTAATAATCAATAAATGTTCTACAAACATTAGTATCGCGTGAGGTAACCTGAATTCAATTTTAATGGATTTCTCCTTTCAAATTCAGATATTTTCTACTAATGCACATGTGCGACGACACTAAGAACTTTTTTATATAATCAGATGTCAAACATAAATTTCAGCTCAATGCCACAGTTACCGAGTGGAATTTATTGTTAAGTAAATCTAGTGATAGAAAATGGTGTGAAATATTGACAGAGGCATACGTGATTGTACTTTGAGTCAGAAAAATGTTCACAAGTGGTACAAGCTTTTTACAAAAGGTCGAAAAGATGTGAATGACCACGCTCGCTCTGGGCGTCCCAGCACCGATGAAAATGTTGAAAAAGTGAACAAATTATTATGGAAAACCGTCGAATCACTATTACAGAAATTGCTGAGGATGTCGGCGTGTCAGTTGACTCATGCCATCCAATTTTTTGGAAACTTTAGATATGATTAACGGAAAAACAGATTTTAAAACAGAAGCGTCATAACTGGTGATTAATCATGGGTATATGGTTATGAGGGGGAATAAATTGAAGGGGAAATGAAGAAATTGTTGAACGAATAATTATTTTTTGAGAAAAATGAAATTCACCCCATTTGTTCAAGACAGCGTAATCAGCTTTCCAAAGGAAATATAGCTATTTACTACAGTTTTTGATACAGTTTCCAAGTGATTGCTTTAATTTTTGTTTCATGTTCATTTTGCGATATCATCGAATTAAAAAAAATGACCTTGAGATTATCAAGTACATTAAGACAAAATATTTGTGCAAAACAACACTTGATAATCATATATTTAAATAACTTGCGAAAAATAATCATATTGGTTTTGAATATTGAGTCGTGAAATCTGAAAACTAGTAAAATATGAGACTATATTTGTGCATTTTGTTTTTGTCTACACTTTGCATTATGACTACGGAAGCACAAAGTAAGTATTGAACTGTAATTCTGATTATTATAGCTACTAGTTCATCTTGAAATTGTTCTTCGATATGTTAAGTTGACTTTCTTCTATTGTTATGACAGTTTTCCATCTTATATTTACTGAACACTAAACAGTATTCTCTCTACAGAAACCTTTTCATAGATATATTTTTTGACTGTTCCACTGTAATTAAATTCAGTCAGAGATGTTGCTAAAGCAACAAGGTTATAAAACATTTTCTGTAAGAATTTTTGCGACATGTATCATGGATATTCTCATGATATTTTTCTAGTAGTTCCAAACATCAATTATAGCCGACCTTCGATAAATCTGCTAATTTTATGTAGATAAATACCACTATCATTTCAACCGCATCACAAATTCCAATTTCAAATCGACAAAAGCTCTTTCCTTATATACACGTATACAACTCGACAACTCGCAAAAAATAATTTTCATTCCGAAAACGGAATCAAGAAATCTTAACACAAACGAAAAATGAGATTACTGTTGGAAATTTTGTTTTTGTCACTCTGCATCATAAAAACGAATACACAGAGTGGGTATCTATTCAATTTTCGGAGTGAATGAAAGCAGTTTTTTTAATTACTAGTAGGCTCCGTTTTGGATACAAGCAACATTTGTTTTCATGGAACTTTTTGA